GTCCATTTTGCCAGGCCGAGGAAGTCCTCGAGATACCCTGCCTTGGTGCCGGAGAAAGCGGTCTGCGTGTTTGTTTGTCATAAGCTGAAAAAATCGTTTTATGCCTTCCGAAATGTCAGACAAGTACGGACCAGCTGATTCTCATGCAAGAGCATTTCACCTACCAGATTGGGGAACTCGATGAATGCAAGAAATGGGACTCGAAAGTCGACTCAAACTATTTGCGCTTGGTTACTAGACTCCGGAATGGAGAGAGAGTTGAGCCATTTGCAAAAATAAGGTTCGCCAACGAGTCCGTTTAGGTGAGATTCAACTTCATAAAGAACAAATTCCACACTAAAGGGTCATCAAAGAAACTGGATTATTATCCGTCGTTAAGCAGACGTAGAAATGCGTCTCTCAAGGGGAACATCATCAATAAGCTTCGCTATAACTACTCGGAATTATGTCTTAAGCCCAATAACCACATGCACACACAGGCACACGTGCAGACACAAAATAAAGTAACCTTCGGAGATTGTGTTTTAGAGCATGTATGCGGCAAGAAGAGGTGGGCCGATTGGTTGCAGGCAAAATTAAGCAAAAGCATACTTTCTGACACAAGATGGCATCGGCTCAACGGAATTTAATCCTCTTCAGGCATAGTCAAATGGGCAGTCCCGACCGGATGAGAGTCAAGTCCAAGTGAAATGCAGCGGCATCCTGAAGCCAACTCATAGCATTGTAGGAAATATTGCATTATCAAGCCCTCGAAGGTCATCGTAAGCCGCCTAGGCTAAGCTCGAATTCAACAAGTACTGCTGACTTTGTAGTCTACTCACAACGAATATAAGTAGTGTTGTCGATTGTGCGGCACAGATAGACGTTCGCACCAGCGAATTGGTTCGACTTGGAGGTCTTGAACCGCATTGGGGCTGTCGATGATGTGGTGAGGCGGGGTGGAAACCGAAATCCAAGCGGTTTGTGGAAATTTTTTTAAGGCAAAGCTCCGTGAAATGCAATGGAATGGTGAGGTCCACTCATCTGAGGGTAGGGGAAAACTCCATTTACATTCCTCAAATCACCTCAAGCGACCTAGACCGACTGAATCCGTGAACATAAATTGATCTGATCGGAAAACCGGCGATGCCTTGTCAACATGGCCTATTGCCTATAGCAACTATACCCTTACCAGCCCTCGTCCTGATAACAAATCGATAAAGAGGGTTGTATGGAACGATTAAAAGTGGAGGCTTAAAACGCTTGGAGAGTAAAAAGAGTGGCAATCTTTTACGTCAGGCCCGCTTTACCATCTCGATTGGCGGGAATGTGTACGTTTGCGCAAACACACGCTTGAATCATAATTCCCAGCGTCGGACCGTGAACTTGGTACATTGCCAGACGTTTCGACAGCATCGTCAGTTTGTGAGTCTTGCCATTCTCAGAAACAAGCTACAACTCGTCAAAGAGACAAGCGAAGTCAACTTTCTGCCGAAACGGTTGATCTACCACTCCTCCTTCTGTCCTTGTTCGTCTATCCACTCCCTACTCTCTCCTATCTCACTCTGGCCCAATCGCAACTTCCGGCTTGTTTACATTTCACTGCTCAAGAGGTGTACTTTTTGGCGAGTTTAGTGTGGCGTCATCGCCTTGCCTCCCCCGCCCTCAACTCGATTTGTTGATCCGACTTGGGCCTCGTGTCGAGATCTCCTTCACAGGCCCACAGATCCGTGTTTTATCTTTCTGCTTGGCCGATTCCACTCGACTCCAGTTCAAGTATACATTTAACTTTAGGCGCTCTTTCTCAAGCCTTCAGTAGCATGTACACTGTCGCCTAGGCTCTGATTGCTCCAATTGCTTGCAGACATCAAGCTTATATGCAAGGTATTCACCCAATTTCGTGTATGGTGATGAAGGACTGGTAGAAGAAGAATTTTCCCACAATCATATGAGTCGAGCTGACGTTTCCTTTGAATTTCACATGGCCTTGCTTTCGCAAAAGTTGATCTCATCCAGGCACCGGTGGACTGCAGTTTCGACGTCGCATCGGTCTTATCAACAACCCCATCGGGAGTCGAACCGTGACAGTGCAGAAAGGGAGATTGACACGTTAACCACTCGACCACATCGCCACGAGTGCCCTTGGGTCACAGGACAGATGTGAATTTCAAGGAAGGCCATGCCTTTTGTCATATCACATTCTTTGATGAGATTGTCGATGAAGCAAACGTATATCTGCTATGACAATT